ATCTTTTGATGGTAAATATAATTATTATGGTAATTATGTGGTGACAAGTTGTTTATAAGTTAATAATAAACTAATTATTATCATTAACATCACTTATATTTTCAACTTTACACTTTTTTTAAGGAATAGAGTGAGAATTGCTCTTAAAATATTGACATAACCTAGAAAATCAGAAAATTAATTTATTTTTTTAAATTAATACGTCAATATTTTCTTACCCGCAACATTTGCAGGTCATAAAATGTTTAGATCATCGTAAATTGAGGTAGTTCTTGATTTGCTTGGCATACTTTATCGTAATGCGCTAGAAAAGCATACAAAAGCACTTAATACATTGCAACACATAGAAAACAACATAAAACTATAGATTTTAAAGGTTTACGGTGCATTATTTAGTTGTTTTAATTAGAAAACGTGGTTTTTATTGTTTATTTCAAGTAAAAATTAATTTCTCAACACTTTTTTCATATAATTTCATCAATAAAATTAATTTAAATTAAAAATTAAACAGAAAAATTTTTTAAACAATGCAAAATATAATAAAATAACAGAATTTAATGGTTTTTTTGTTTATTCTTTACAGTTTTAATTAAAAAAAGTTGTTTTTATTGCTTATTTTAAGTAAAAACACTTTTTTCATATAATATCACTAATAAAATTAATTAAAACTTGAAATAAAGTCATAAAATTGTTTACTTACGTAATTATTAACAGGAATATCCATTAAAACGGCACACACACTTACAAAACTACTTTTTACCACGTTTAAAACCTTTTCCATGATTAATATTTCTAAACTAATTAAATTATTTGATAATATTATTGATTGTGCGCAAATCAAAGGTGTAACTCACAATGCAAACACATTTTAACAATCGCGAAACATCGCACTTGCTGTTTTTATATTTCGACACTTATTAGAACTAACGAGCAAACAAAAAAAACGTTACTTAATGCAAACAAGCACTTTTTTTCGTAATTCAAACCAGTTTCCGCGTCTATAAATAATAAAAACACATTACCGAAACTTCGACTGGAGTCAAATGATGTAATTACGCGCAAAACTCGACGCGACCCGCAGACGTAATATGTAATGATTTAATGATTGTGCAAAATCTATACTTATGCTTATTAAACGACGTGTACTTATCATC